AAATATATTTTTTAAAATTCCCATTGTGTAGTATTTGTGTTAAGCCTTTTCTGTGATTAGCTATGCTTGAAATATACAAATACTTAGCTATGTATTACAGTAGCCTGCAGTATTTAATACAGTAATGTGCTTTTCCATGTGACTAGGTGCGGTGTTTCTACAGTTATGTCTTAATGGAAACAGCTTGAGTCTTAGCATCCATTTTAAGGCCAAGAGCAGACCAAATTGCTGAGCACTTCTTCCTTCAGATGGCACTTAGAACTGTGCTCCAAAGCTTTCACTCATGCTTTTATTGAAACAGCATCTCTAGCATAAAATGGGGAAGTAGAAGTCAAGACCCCACCCTTACCAGACAATCTTGTCCTTTGATCCCTAGGCCTAGAATATCACACACACTCAATTTATCTCATTGTTTACAATGAGAAAAGCAGGGTGCTTGCAGCTCTTCGATATGTAAAACATGCATAGGCACATTCATGCACTGTCTCACACTAACTTGGGTGGAGGATAAGGATCCTGAGGGATTAAGGTCATATGTCTAGGTCACAAGAGGAGCACATGGCTCAGTGAACTTGTTTACATTATAAACAGTAACTTTTTGGTTACAGGGTTAGACAAAAGTCTTTAATCCAGATCATGTCCTTATTGTAAAAGTTACTCCCACAGCTAGGTATGTAGTAGACTGTACCATCTAGATTTCTGTAAATGTACTCTATGATGATTATACAATGCCAAAATCACCTAATGATGTATTTCTCAGAAGTCCTCATCCTTAAGTGACTCATGACCATACAAAAACTGATATTTCAGTTGTTTTTATAGGTACTCCCTTGGAATCAGTAGAGTTAGATGATTTGGGTTTTACATACAAGAAGCAGGGAAGCTTAATTGTAAAAGTAATCTATTTCAGCTAAGGGGAGATTTATGAAGAAAACCTTAGGCTTTCTGGTTTATATCAAGCATGATGTTAGACTCCTGTTACCTTAGGACTGAGTGTATAGCTTAGTATTTGAGTACTTGCTTATCATTTGTGTGGCTCTGGGTTTGATCCTTAGTGTATGCATGTGCACACATACAGACCACACACACACAAATAACATATCTTAGAATCCTGTAACCTTTTGAATCATTGAAAGTTTTTTTTTCTTTATGAATCCTTTTACTTATTTTTAATATTTTGAAGAATAAATGTAGCTTGCTTTTACTACCCATTACAGACTTACTTCCAAGTGGCATACTCTGGATTTGCAGCTTTTATTATTTCTTTAAAAGAAAATATTTCTGTTTCAGGTGATGGAGAAGATAACCGACCAGGAATGAGAGGGGGCCATCAGATGGTTATTGATGTTCAGACAGGTGAGTAACACTAGCCATGGAAAGCAAAACCTTTTTTAAAGTTTTAAATCTCTTTTTCAATATTTCAGCATAATTGTAGAGCTGAAGTGTTAGTGCAATTCAGCAGTAAATTCAGGCTCTATTTGCCAAAATATCATTGACCTACATTTAAGATATTATGTAAGAGTGAATGCAGCTGGGTGTTGTGGCCTTTAGTTCCAACACTGGGGAGGCAGAGGCAGGTGGATCTCTGTGATCCACCTGGTCTCCATAGCAAATCTAGGCCAGCTTCGTGCTACCCCGTCTCAAAAAGACCAAAAATAAATAAATAAATAAAGAAAAAAGAAAAAAGAAAACAAAATAGGGAATGCACTTCTCTCCATTCATTATAAAGGTTACATGTTATTGACTAGAACCAGATAGTAAAGAAAGCAAGAATTTACCACAAGGATATCTTACACTTTGACAGTGGCAGGTGAGAGAAGGTGCTGCTGTGCAGATGATGTTAGATCATCTAAAAGAATTGTGTCCTTCACCTAATTTGATTTTAGAAAACTTTACTGCATATAGTGTCCTTATCTACTTAAGCAGCATTGTGCTTTTTTCAAGAGTAAATTTGCATCTTTTTTGTTTGTTTGTTTGTTTTTTACTTTGTCTCATGCTGACTCACAGTACTTGAGGACTAAAAATACTGCTTTTGTAATAGAAAATAATTAGAAAAAAATTGCTGTAGTGTGGGCACTAAATCTTGGCATAACTATTTTCGTAACATTTCTTTGAGTTGTAAGAGGGTATTTAATTTTAAATTAACTGCTAAATATGTTTACTAACTTAAGAATTTGAGAATATTGTTAAGAGTTTCTGTGGAAAAGATTTATTTCAAGGTATAGGATTTTACTTACTAATTTTTACCTCTTCTCCAGCTGCCTGCCTGCCCTACCTAAATAGACTTGAATTTGATGCAGCTTTGGAGGCACTTGTTTTCCTCTTCAGAGTCTGACATACACACCTGCCCTGATTTATTAAAGAGGCAGATTTGTATACAAATTGCTTTTCTTGCTAATAATAAAATAAAGATTATTTTTAAATTCTTGTAATTTTCTAGGCAAAATATACTTTGCCTAACTGTGAAAGTAATTACAGTTAACTTTTTCATTTAAGCTTCATTTTATAAAGAAGCAGAAGGAATTTTCCAAGTGTTTACTATGTTATAGGAAAGGGACCATACATGACAAGGAAGGTACATGTGTAAGAAAAAAAGATAATTTGTAATAATCCTGACATTTGAAGTTGGAAAATAATCAAGTATAGATAAATGTCTTATAGAATTTGGCGTAGGAAAGTAATGGATAGTTAAAGGTTAATAAAGACCCGTATTAGGAAACACAAGGAAGTGATAAAGTTTTGGACCTTTTTCAGTGTTTCTGTTTTATGCAGTAAGGGATAGGATTTCAGCAGACACTGAGTGGCCCATAGTCCTTAACTCCACTTGTATTAGTCAGGGTTCTCCAAAGAAACAGAACCAGTAGAGTGAATATGTATAGAGATTTATCATCTTAGCTCACAGGATAGAGTCCGAGTAGTCCAACAATGGCTGTACCACACTGGAGAGGCTGAGAATCTGTAGTCGCTCAGTCACCAAGGCTGATGTCTCAGTAGTCCCAATCCGGTGCTGAAGGTCTGACAAATTCCAAAATATCAGCTAGTCTTCAGTCTACAGCGGCAAGACGAACTCAGCAGCAAGAGAGAAGGCAAGCCGCAAAAAGCCCTGTGTTCTCCTCTGCCTTGGTCTTTTATATGGGCTGCCGGCTTTAGATGATCCAATCAAGAAGATCTCTTTCATTTCAGTTAATCTCAGATCTAATCAAGTTGACTCCCAGGATTAGCCATCACACCACTCTTTAAAAAAAAATTTTTCCAAGAGAGGAAAAATGTTTGACTAACGTGTTGATTTGACTAACTATAGAAATGGTGGTTTTAACCAAATTTAGTAGGAATGCTTATCATAGGTATGTGATTTTAATCTCATGTATGTATGTGTAAATATTTATGTATGTGTGCATGTACATGTGTATGCAGATTTATGCATGTGTGTGTGAAGACCAGAGGTCAACACTGGACATTGTCCTCAGTTACTTTCTACCTTAGTTTTTGGACACAAGGTCTCTCAAAACCTGGAGCTACTCGTTCAGTTAGACTGGCTGGCCGGCAAGACCCAGGGATCTTCCTGTCTCTGCCTCCCCAGTGTTGAGATTACAGAGATGCACTGCTGTGTTTGGCTTTTTCACATGAGTGCTGAGGCTCAAATCCATGCACTCATGCTTTCTTGGCAAGTGCTTTATTTCCCCAGCCATCTCCAGCCCCTGATTTTAATCTCCTTTTGATAGCTTCTATACTTGTATTGCTGTAACACACCCCTACTCTGCCTCTGGCTAACCTTTAAAGCATGGCATTTAATAAGAATGGTACCTTTATGCTTTTATGACAGGTGAGAGTGGTGGTGCATGCCTTTAATCCCAGCATTCTGGTGGCAGAGGCAGGTGGATCAAGGTCAGCCTGGTCTACATAGTAAGTTCTGGGCCTGCTAGGGCTACAGGGAGACCCTGTTTCAAAAAATGCCCTCCCTCCCCCAAAGAATAGTGATTTTACAGGAGATGCTTTCATTTTTTCCTCCATTTAGAATGCTTGCTCTCTGTATTTCGTGCACAGACTTTATTATTTTGAAGTATTCTTGAATTTCTAGTTTCTTCAAAGCTTTTATCATGCTTTGTTGAATTTTCTCTGATGCCTTTTCTGCAGCTATTATATGATCATGTGACTTGCTCTTGAGTCTATTTATGTTTGATGTATTATGTTTTTTAATTTGTAGATATTGAACCATCCTTATATCTTTGTATCTTTGGAATGAAACCAGCGTAATCATGGTCTATAATCTCTTAATGTGTTGTTGAATTTGGTTTGTAAGAATTTTATTAAGAATTTTATTATGTAGGTTCATGTAGCATATAAATCTTTGATTTTTTTTTTGTTATGTCCTTATCTATTTTTGTTATCAGGATAATATTGGCTTTATAGAATGAGTCTGGAAACATTCTTTCTATTCTGTTTTATGGAATAGTTTGAAGAGCATTGATGTTAGTTAGTTCTTAAAAGTATTAGAAAATTCAGCAGTGATACATACATACATACATACAAACAAAACCCTATTACATAATTTACCTTAAAGAAACTTTCGAATGAAATGAGTAAAGATGAGTTTGGGTTGTTAATTACAAAAAAAAATTACAAACATGTTCTGCCTCTTTTTAAAATTGCATGTGTATGGTGTGTGTTTGATTACATAATATGACATGCATATGGAGGTCAGAGGACAACTTTATGTAGATCCCTTGGTTCTAGGGATCAAACTCAGGTTGTTAGGCTTGCGCTGCAAGTGCTTTACCCACTGAGTTATCTCACTGGCCCCTTTTACTTCTTTTTGACACTTGATTTGTGTGACCATTTGACCCAGTCCGTGTTAGTACATAGTTGTTGTATTCTAGAGGTTCAAAATGGAGAAACTGATTTAATTATGAAAATAGTGTGCCATCTTGTGGAGGTTTATGCAGTCAGCATCCTAATTTACTCAGGGTAGAATGATAGCTATTACAACTGAACACTTCAGCTTAAAAGCCTGCTTTATTGCGCAAAATGCATGCAAATGTTATAAAAAGACTGAATTCTCTACTTGTGTTAACATATCTCCCTTATTTATAATTCATGTGAAATATTTGGATTGGTGCTACTGTAGTAGGTAGATCTATGGTTTATTTGGTACTGGTTCCAAATGATGCATACTTTCCACCAAGGAGTAACAGTTGAATTTTAGTATTTATAACCAGTAGTGATTGATTAATGATTACTTGGCGTGGTCTCTTGAATTTGAAACTGGCTTGAGATTTTGAAAATAGGCTACTACTGATCATATTTCCTCCAGTCTCTCATTCTCTAGCTCCTCCTTTTCAGTCAGTTCAGACTCTTAACACCTCTGCTGAAGATCTTCTATAGCTTCTTCATTGTCAGTGGAATCAAGTTTAAACCCTAATAATCTAAACTTTGCAACGGTCTGATCACTATCTTTTTAACTTCATATCTGCCTACTACTTTTGTGTTCTTCTTTCACTTATATTCACTTACTCATCACACAGTTAACTTTACATGAGGTACATAATTTTAATCTTCAAATAGCTTTATAAAATACCATTTCACAGAAGGGTGTGATGGGGCATGCCTTTAATCCCAGTACTCAGGAGGCAGAGGTAGATAGTGAGTTCTAGGCCAGCTGGGGCTAAAGGGAGACCTTGTCTCCAAAGAAAAAAAAGATACCATATCACATTTCAGAGATTAGGAAACTGGTGATTAAGGAGCTTTAGTGGTCACATAGCTGTTAATTACAAAGTGAAGATTGTAGCTGTGATGTACCATTTTAAACACTTTTGATGGGTTTTTCTATCTCTAGATCCTTGTTACCCACTTTTTACTCTGCTTGAAAGCCCCCCCCCTTTTTTTCTGTCCCAAATTCTGCTTACCAGAATGCAGAGACCTTCTGATACAAAGGACACAAATATGTCCTGAGTCCTTTTAGCCAGGTACATTCTTTCCTCCTTTGAATGCCTGCTGTGCTTTTTGCCTTCCTGTAGCACTTATTCTGCCTTGCCTTGTATACTTAGATACCTCTTTTATATTCTTGACTGGATTGTAAGTTCTTCAAGGATAAGGAATATCCATCTCTCTTTTCATTCCCTAAAGTGGTTTGTAAGTTCAAATCACTACTTAAGCAATTTTTTTAAGTGCTAGGGTAATTTATGCACAGCCATGATAGCCTATACTTCATTAAGAAAGCAGAAAATGAAAATGTTGCTGCTTGAGGAAGGTTATACCACCTCAAAATACACATGAGTTATTACAGAACCTGTGTGTATGAGAGTGGCTCCCAATAAACCAGACTATCCTGTTAAGATTGATGCTTTTTCCTCTCTTCTACTTCCTCATTTCTCTTTATAGTTCTCTCTAGTTATTTTAATAATTCAGGCCTTTGATATCTTTTATGTATTTAACAGTACTTTTGCTAATATTTGTTTCAAGATGCTTTATCTTTTCGTGACAAGTGATGAGGTGTTTTTTTTTGTATTTTGTTTTTAATTTTTAAATATTTATTATTTTTATTTTATGTGTATTTATTTTATGTGTATTGCCTGCAAGTAAGTGCACCCGTATTGTGCAGTGCAGCGGAGGTCAGAAGAGGGCTTCGGATTCCCCTGGAACTGGAGTTAAGGATGGTTTGTAGCCACCATGTGGGTGCTGGGAATCGAACCCGGGTCCTCTGCAAGAGTAGTCAGTGCTCTTAACTGCTGAGATATCTCTCCAGCCCCTGTGATGAGGTGTTTTAATTAAAAAGTTCTATTATGCATTTTTCATTCAGGTACATCAGAAGGTTCAGTTTCTACAAAATTTATTTCATTTTACTATTACTTCAACTGGACCACAAAGCTTCCATGGACAGGAGTGACATCTTGGCTTAATTCTATTGGGATCCTTGCCCTATGCCAAATTTTATTTTGCTCAGCCATCAATGAGGCTGTTGTGGAAATGTGGGTTTTCTTTGCTGTGAGAATTTATGCGCACAAAGAGACTTGCTTTTCAGAAAGAACATTGAGAACCCAGAGCCCAACAGGAAGGGTTATTAAAGTTAATGAACCAGGGTAACCTTATCCAGAGGGTGCCCAGAAATACTATAAAACAAAAGGTCAATTGCTATTGCTATTTTAGTTATATGGCCCTCTATCTACAGGCTTCAGAAATTAACAGAGTTAATTGCTTTTATAGTGAGGTCTTGGCAAAGAATTCTTAAGCCAGATGAAAATCCTTTAATTATTTTCCTGTAAAATTATGTATCTGGACATTCTTGTATGCCATTTGAAAAACACAGTGTTACTTAATTAATGATAATGGATTGTTTTATAGTTACAAAATAAGATAACTTTTTAGTAGTTAAAATGCCATTATTTCATATTAATATATCAAAGGGATTCTAAGTATTGAGTTAGATTGGAATCAAATATGGTAACACTGTTGTGTTTCAAGCACTTAGAAACTAAAAGGTAGTTGGAATTATTTCTTTTTTGATTTTCGCATTTAAAAAAGAAATGTTCATTTTTGAAAGCTTCAGAATATTTTTGTATGACTTGGATCTGAGGAACTTCACAACACTCAGAATTTCATAAATAAAATTAAAACTGAGGCAGATTAAGTGACTTGTACTTGACACCCTGTATTCGTTTCTTGCCACGATGACCAAAAACCTTAGAAAATAACTGAGGAAGAAGGAGGATTTATTTTGGCTCATAGTCCATTGTGGCAGGAATGGCATAGAAGAACAGGTTACATCATGGTGGGCAGGAAGTAGAGAAAGGAAAGAAAGGACAGGGACCCAAAATGAGATATTTTCCTCTAAAACACTCCCCCAGTGACCTACTTCTTCCAACTCTGCCTCCCTCATAAGGTTTCCAGAAGTTAGCAAAATAGTGTCTGTCAGTTGCTGTGATCAAACCTTTAAGAATAAGCCTCTGGGGGACAGAAGTTCGTGTCTAAAAATCTCTCGTAAGACTGAAAGCAATCTCTTAATGATGAGCCTCTATAAAAATTAAAAATAAGTTAGATATACTTCTAACATAGAGTGGTGCAGAGTAAACATTCCCATTCTGAAAGGGAGGAATAGGAGCATAGAAAGGAAGACTTGGAAGCAAAATGAGACCAAAACTCAGCAAGGTAAACTTTAAGTGCTTTAGCTCCATATCTGCAACCCAGGGCACGTGATTATGATGTGAGAATTTATGAGTAAAAAGAGACCTGATTTTCAGAAAGAACATTGAGAATCCAGAGTTCAAGAGGGGTTGCTTGGGCCATCCTACCCTCATATGGCCTCTCTTTAAGACTGGTTCCTCTTGTTGCCTGCAATGAAATTTCTAGGTTCTGGGAGTTTCCTTTGTGTCTTTGGTTTCATTCTCCCAGCTTATACAATTCTTTCTCAAGGACTCCCTGCATAAGTTATCCAACCTTGTGGGCCTTCTTTGACATCTGAATAGAAGCCTGCCTGACTCTTACTCTTCCATTCTCCATGCCTGCAAAACCAGTGTCAGGTGAACAACACAAAGATCTGCCACCAGCTCAAGTAGGCAGCTAAACGTGGTGAAACGGTCCTTGGGAAACAACTTCATAGGTGGCTCTGTGACAGGTAGGGTGCCCAGGAGGCAGTTTTCTGAAGGGACAGCCTTCCAGATTTGTCCATACTTTCACATCCTGGAACCCATAGTGATTAGGGATCTGGTCAATTTATGAGATGGTCCCATGGCAAAGAATTGGCTTGTTTTGTAATGGTACCGATCTCTTCAGAAACCAAATCTTCTTTAGTTTCAACTACATGCAGAGTTTTTCCAAACAAAGTTTTTCAGATTTTTTCTGTTCTGTCTTTTGCTCCCAATTTTCACTGAAACCTGGCTAAAAGCAGCAAGCAGTAACTATGCTCCAGCCAGAATTCTGGGCTGCCTTGAAATTTTTTCTTCTTATTAGTTAATGTAACACCTTCAAACTCAGTCTTTCACAAAGTCTCAGCATATGGACAAAAAAATAGAGCTCTTTGCCAGAATGTAGCACAAATGGCCCCTGATTCTGAATAGATGTTGCCATCTGAAACCTTATGAACAAGCCTTTACTATGAGATTTCACTGGAATTGTCAGTTAAACTATTTACAGCATTGTAGAAAGTTTTCTCTAGCTCACTTCTCTAAACTTTTCTAAATTCTCCTGCAAACCAGTTCCAGAGGCTTAAGAACCATATAGCTGTGCTTAGTCAACAACAGTCCTATTTCTGTAGTAACAATTTTCTGTTAAGGCTTTTTGTCACTATGACAAATACTTGAAAATTTAAGGGAAGGAAATGTTTATTTTGGCTCACATTTTTAGGTATTTTAGTATGCTGGAGCAGGAAGGGTGTAGCAGAATAGCTCACAATTGTGGTAGCCAGGAAGGGAGGGTTGTGGGAGTGCCAAGACAACATATTGTCCCCAGGGACACACTCCTCCTGGCCAATCTCTTCCAGTGAGGCTAACCTCCTGAAGCCTTCAGAAATTCCCAATTAGTACCACCAGCTGGGACCAAGCCTTCAATAGCTTTTGAGAGACACTTCATCTTTGAACTATAATCCCTTTAGCACTAGAACTCAGTTCTTCTCAAGTGGACTGTACTTATTTTGAGACCAGTGAAGCATTTATGGACACTTTAATTAGAAAATTTGCTTAGAATTTGAAGCTATATGAAAATATGACACAAATGTTGTCGAAGATAGCCAACTATGAGTGAGAGGAGGTTTCTTAGTGTTATAGTATTTCCACATGCATTTTTGAATTGTTTATCTTCATGGTTGGACATACCTTAGATGATAGCCACCATGTGTACAGGCTTAAAATGTATTACTTTAAAGAGTCAGTGGCTTTGCAGTTTGCCTGTAATGTAATGTACATTTCAGAGTAACAAGAAACTCAACTCTCAAGGTACCTAATGGTTAATCTTAGAAGAGTAAAAAACCCAATACAGTATATTTGGAAAAACCCTCCTCTATTTTCATGGGATGACCAATGTTTTATTCTTAAAGTATCTCACTTCAGCTTTCAGCTAGTTTTAACCAGTACTTTGGTATTACAGTGGAGAGAAATCACCTTTAATATGACTCCCCCCCCCCCCGTAACAGCTACTTGTCCTTGTGTTATTCTTTTAAATAGTATATTTCTCTAAGTGCTGTCTTGTACAGTTTGAATAATTCTGTAGGTCTTTAGAGGCTAAAATGTGGCTGCACTAAAGAACTTTGGAATCAGGATCTTGGGGAATGTGGTCTAGTGATCTGATTCCTAAACAAATTTCTCAAAATGTGGTTCTGCAGCCATTTTTCCATTTGCTTATGTGTGAGTAATACTAGTCTGGTATACATTTTGGAAAGCTATCAGTTCAAAAATATTACCTTAAAAATTATTAAAGATGCCCTCTTAAATGTTCTTTGAAACAACTGACCAGGTAGGATGCTAATACTTTTGACTTTGAGACTTTTTTTAATACATACTTTTCTGATTTTCATAGAGACTGTTTATTTGTTTGGTGGCTGGGATGGAACACAAGATCTTGCTGACTTCTGGGCATACAGTGTGAAGGAGAACCAGTGGACATGTATCTCTAGAGATACTGAGAAAGAGGTAAGTTCTCAGCCTTTTCATTTATCTGTATTGCATGGGTACATACTTTCTGCTTGTTTTGTTCTCCAATGTTTCTCAGCAGTGGTAGCAAAAGAATTTTGAAACAAGAAAACAGGCTTGATTTAAGAACTCCTGCATTTCAACTTCTAGCCCTGGTTCACCAACTATTGGTTTACAAGATACAAGATTCTTTTTAGCCCCAGCTGTCCTGGAACTCACTATGTAGACTAGGCTGGCCTTGAACTCACAGAGATCCGCCTGCCTCTGCCTCCCGAGTGCTGGGATTAAATAAAGATAAATTGAGTTAGATATTTTTGTATCATTTAATTTTTAAAATGCTTTACCCTAGAAGTGTGATTGTTGTCTCAGGCCCTCATCAGTCCTACTCCTGTTCCCAGCGTTCTTTTTTTGTCTTTGCACTGGTTGGAACCCAGGGCCAAAGTACTCTATCATTGAGCTGCAATCGAGCCTTTGCCACCTTATTTTTATTCCCTCTGGAAAAACATGCTTTTGCTATTCCAGCCCCACACCATCTCACTGTTTTGAGCCCTTACTGCTTTACTGTACCGTTATGTGCTGCATAACAGTATTTCAGTCATCACTAGGTAGGCCATAGACATGGTGGTGGTCTCGTAAGATTATTTTGTTTAGTGATAGCATAACCATCTTTGTATAAATATGCTCTATAATGTTGACACTGATGAAATAGCCTAACAGAGCATTTATTCAAACTGCTACCTATCAGTTTTAAGTGATATTTATTTTTTAATTAAAATTTCATCTATGTATGCATTTGTGTTTCTATCTGTGCATATATAAATGAAGCATTTTCATATTGAATAAAATGACTTGGTTTTATGGCTTTGAGTTTAATAGGTACATGAATATATCCTGGGAAGAAGCAAATATTTGTTGTTCATTTTTCTCCAAATCTTTATAGAATTTTTATTGTGTTTTCCATCTAAGCAGTTACAGATTGCAAATTGAAAAATATACTATAACAAATGGAAAGTGAAGGAAATAGACTTAATTCAAATTTACTGAATTTTACTTAGGAAAGCCAACCCAAAAGATCTAGTGGTGTGCCTTCGGTCCTTGGAAATTGGGTTCTTGGTATTATCTCATTTGTAAAAAGAAGTCAAATAACCAAGTTCAGAGTCAGTTAATGGTGTGGTTTTAGAGGGCATTGATACAAGATACAGTAGGTTTGTTTAATTTGTCATTTGTTATTTAAACAACAATAATAAAACAATATATTTGCTTCAGTTTCTTTTACTTACCGTAGAAGTTTCAAATGTTTCTGGAGGTTTGGTCACTTAGTTACCAGCCTTACACCCTGACTTTATGTGATAGCACATGCACCATTTTTGCTGTTATTCCACTTTCTCACTTGTCTTGTTAGAAGTGTTTTCCTAGTATGGGGTTAGCAGAGGGTCCCTATCTCCAGCTTCAACCTGATAGAGCCTATATATGCTTTAAAACTCGATTTAGACTCCACTTGCTCAGTGTAACCTTTCTTGACCCATCCTAAGCAGAATTTAAAACTTTCTTTGGTGTGTCCATCTTAGCACCAGTTCGTTCTGGAAGAGATTACTGTGACTTATTTTCTTATTTTCCTGTCTAGAGTCTGGATTCCTTAAAGGCATGAATCATATTTAAAATTTATGATTTTTTTTTTTTTTTTTTTTTTTTTTTTTTTTTTTTTTGTCTTTTTGAGACGGTCTCCCTATAGCCCCAGATTTCCTGGAACTCACTATGTAGACCAGGCTGGCCTTGAACTCACAGAGATCCGCCTGCCTCTGCCTCCCAAGTGCTAGGATTAAAGGTGTGCTCCACCACTCCCAGCTAGAATTTATGAATCTTAAGGATGTGATAGATATGCTTATTCTTTAGTGAATAAATAGATGGGGTAAGTTAAACTTAGTGCTTGAAAAGAGCAAAGGAAATAATTAAACTCCAGAGAGTGGCTGTTCAGGTGTGATGTTTTTAGGGGCCTTAAAAGCAATTCTGGGAGCTGGAGAGATAGGCTCAGCGATTAAGAGTACTGACTGCTCTTGCTGAGGACCCGGGTTCGATTTCCAGCACCCACATGGCAGCTACGAACTGTTCTTAACTCCAGTTCCAGGGGAATCTGAAGCCCTCTTCTGACCTCTGAGGCATTGCACAACACGGGTGCACTCACATACATGCAGGCAATATACTCATACACATAAAATAAAAATAAAGAAAATAATTTTTAAAAGGTATTTCTAGTGAGTTCCAGGACAGCTGGGGCTACAGGGAAACCCTGTCTCAAAAAGGTAAAAAAAAAAAAAAAGTAATTCTGGTCTAAGACAGGATGTAACTTAACTGGTCATTCTTGTTTTGTCTTTCTGAGATAGGAGCAGACTGACCTCAAACTCGGAGCTGCCCTTGAACTGTCCCTCCTCCTGTCTTTACCTTGTCTGAGCTGAGATTGCAGGCATGTGTCACTATGCCCAACTCATTCCATTAGTAGGCTGACCGTATTAATGAAATGAGATTTATAGCAAAAGATATCTTAGAAAAAAACTGAATTGCAGCTTTTCATAAAGGGAGCACTGAAGCATCTCTCTCTCTCTCTGTCTCTCTCACACCCATACACAATGTCTCTTGTTAAGTATCTCTGACTTCATTCATGGGATGATTGAGTAAGAAGGAATTTGACATGGCTCTCCTTACTGGATTTTACTTGTAGACTCTTACAGTATCAGGATTCCTTTATATGTTAACCTACTAGTGTTTTCTCAGTTTATTTGAGTTATGCTTATTGAAGATTACTGTGTTAGAAATCCAGGCAGTTGCTTGTGTTTTTCTTTGATCCTGTATTCCAAATTGACAAGTGTTTGCTATTTAAAAGTAGTTGTCTGTCATGTATACTATGAAACCCCATCATCACCTAGCAGTCTGTAATCCGTTGTGCTAAAATGTGGTGTTCTGTATGCTCTTTGAATGCATTTTTTAACTATGCATGTGTTTTCACTTACTTGTTTCCCATTTGAAAAATACTGATTCACATCTAAATATTGGCCTGTTTTTTAAATCATATTTGTTAATATCACTGTCAGTCTCAATAGAAAAGTCCTTGAGCATTGGAAAGGTGTTATGATAAGTGACAATTTTCCAAAATTTGGATTGTTTCTTAAAAAGGTATGTTGCGCAGGGTGTGGTGGTACACGCCTTTAATCCCAACACTCCAGAGGCAGGTGGATCCCTGTGAGTTCAAGGCCAGCCTGGTCTACATAGTGAGTTCCAGGAGAGCGGGGGTGACAGGGAGACCCTTTCCCAAAAAAACCAAAAAAAAAAAAAAAAGATACGTTTCGTTAGCAACAGATTTTGTCCATTTTCCTTCAACTTTGACATAATTCTTGTTTTGAGGAAATGTCTATCATGACCATAATTATGATTTTTATTGTAATTGTTTTCTCAAGTGTATACAGTTCCATGGGAAAAGCCATTGTATAAATTTGACACTTCAAAAACTATGTAAGTGCTTTTTTCTTGAGATAATCCTATACCAAATGGCACTACTTTTTAAAATCCCTTTAATGTTTGACTTAATAGAAGGTAGATGAATTTACATCTACTTTTGCATTCAGACTGTTACTGTATCAAAAAGTCATGTAGTCTCTGGAAAGATTCACATACATTCATAGAAAGTGAGAATGCAGAGACAAATGTTCAAGTTTTTTTTCTATAACTGACCTTAAAGAACAGCCTGTAGTACCTTGGAGAGGGTCCACTGCACTGACATTTTTGAAGAGTACAGAGTTGTTTTGCAGACTATTCCTCAACTGGATTTGTCTCATATTTTCTTAGGGTTGAATTTAGGTAATGTATTTTTAGCAAGCATTACAGATGGATGATACCAGATCCTATGCATATCATATCAGGAAGCACATTATGTCAGTGTCTTTGATGCTAGTTATCTTTGACAATCAGGTTAAGGAGGTGTGTCCCATGTTTTTGCCACTTGATAACTAACTCATGGAGAGGTATTTAAGAATATGAGCATATCATTACTGATCAAACTTTTTGCCCTTTTAGTATTCATTAATTAAAGCTTTTCCCAAAGTGGTTGTACTATGTTATACTCCTATCAGCAATGTTGCTCACATCTTTACCCAAAGAGTTTTTGGGTCATGATCAAAAATTAATTACCATGTAAGTGCATGTCTTTTTGCATGCTCCATTCTATTTCACCATGTTTTGGCCTTCTCTACACCCATGTGTCCCTCTTCTCACTACCATAGCTTTACAGTAGCTTGTGAAGTCAAGTAGAGTGAATCCTCTTTGATGCTTCTGGATCATTTTCATTTTCATACAAACTTGAGAATCTTCTGTTGTTTCTAAATCTCTTGGGATTGTGATTGGGGATATGACACATGTGTAACCTAATTTGGAAAAAAAAAACAAAACAAAACGATGCCTTAATGTTGTTGAGTCCTTCAATCCATAAACATGTTTCAATCTTTATTGATTTTTGACTTCATTATCTCTAAGCCTTGAAGTTAGAGGTCTGGGCTATTTTAGCTAAATTGATTCCAGTGTATTTTATTATTTGTATGTAAAATTTTGTATATAACATCCCATTTTATAAATGTAATGTGTGTTTTATTTTCCATTTGTTGTCTGGTAAAATGGAGAACTAGAAATTTCTTTTTAAAAAAATATATCAGTTTGGGTATTTAACTCAGTCATAGAGTACTTTGCCTCGAAAACACAAGGACCTGGGTTTGGCCTCCAGCACCAGTTTAGAAAAAAAAGAAATTAAATTATATCATTCCCTTGTATAATGTTATTTTACGTCCACTTATTACAATTATGTTATATATTAATAGAGACAGCTTTCCTTTCTCTTCCTGTTCTTTTCCCCATCACAACTTTGTATCTTCTAAAGCCTTTCATATTTCAGAGTTGAACTTACAGAGAGCATAAATGTAGTAAGTAGAAATGATAAGAATAGGCATCCTTGTCTTTGA